TCTCCTAGCTGCTGGTACCAAGAGTGTTGATTTTGAAGCCAAGCAAACTGAAGCTGTTAACAATCTCAATCTCTTTACCATCTATCATGATGCTGCCAATCAGCCCAGTGGTGAGAATCTTTGTTTTCTTGATGCTGCGCTACAATCCATATTAAAGGCTGCAGTCCTTGACCTTCTGCAGCAAGAACTTCAGGTCCTCCTCAGTTTCAGCAAGCAGGGCTGTGTTATCTGCCTAACACAAGTTGTTGATAGGTTTTCCTCGATGCCACCTTCCTCCTCATAGAACAAATCTGTCCTGCAGGAGTAATGTCAGAATGAACCTTAGGTCTTACTTACTTCACTCATGCTGTCAGGCAGGACCAATCACAGAAGGACATCATGCTTGCAGAAGGTGAAGGTCACTGGAAAAGAGGCAGGTCTTCGATGAGACGGACTGACAGAGCACTGAGTAACAGGTTGACCAGAGCAGGAGTTAGGAGGATGCCACAGAGCCTGGTGGTGCCCTCTCCTCTTGTGGAGAGGTCTGTGAGCAAAACCGACTCTACGGTACCTAACGAGTCACTGCGGTTGAGGGTCAGTGAAAGACGGGCAGGCTGACCCAAGGGGCTCCCGCAGAGCGCCGACTGTCAGACCACAAAGCGCTTCACTCCCTTGTCCCTGGCGTCACTTACAGGTCGGCACCAGCCCGAGGACATCTAAAAACAGTAACTGCCTATCAAAAACAGAAGTAAAAAACAAAGACAAACCAGTATCACACAATTTCAAGGCTAAAACAAGCGCTATTACAGCTGAAACTCTAAAATATTCATCCCATTGGTTCATCCATATTTACACCTTAAGAAGGAAGGCTTCACAGACGTCTATAAAAAAACAGAGCCTGCTGAAATGGAATTGCTCAAATTACAGTGCGAAATGCAACTTGTGTTCAAATTACACAATTTCAAATTTTGTGCTCTACTAAACTGGATGTTTCTCTGTCACCAACACATCCCAACAGCCCGAGACACCTCACAGGTCCAGTCAGAGATGAGCGAGGCTCATGGAGCAGGGAACACCTCCGTGCCTGCAGCAAACCCTGCTTCTCAGTGAGCTTCGTAGGGTCTACCCTCAGAAAGCTCTCCATACTTTTACACTAGTCTGCCTTAAACCTTTCGTGGAACAAATAAAAACTTAAATACATTAAAAATAGTTTATCAAAACTAAAAAGCAAAGAGGAAAAAAAAACCAGAAAAAATCTGAAACAATATCCACGAACTGTGGTACAATACAGAAGCGGTAAGCTGCACACACGTCAAGAGTGGCCCACCAGGAGATGTGCGTGTGAAATCAAGTCCACTGCTGCAGCACCTCCATTCCTACAGACCCCAGCACGGAGCAGAGGCGGCCCCCGCTCCAGCACGGTCCATGGCCTTGTCCTATGCACGCACGTTCATTTCTATTCTCCACTAAGCACACACACAAAAATGAAAATGACCCACGGTGCTTACACAAACTGCTCATTTCCCACCTTGCTTAGAATGCGTGAAGTAAAACACACCAACCACAAGCCATGACAATCTCAAAATGGTGACCTCCCTGTTTTGGAAGCACTTAAGATTAAAAAAGAAAACAGCATTTGGTTGTTGTTACGTGCCGTCGAGTTGCTTGCGACCCTATGTACAACAGCCGTAAACTCTGCTCTGTCCTGTGCCAATCGCACTGTCTCTGACACTCCCATCCCGATTATCCCAGTCACTGAATCAATCCACCTCATAGAGGGCCTTCCCCTCCTGCGCCGTCCCTCCACCCTCCCAAGCATGATGTCCTTCTCCAAGGACCTCTCCCTCCTTACAGCATGTCCAAAGTATGTCAGACGAAGCCTCAGAATCCTTGCTCCAAGAAGCAGCCCGGTTTAACCCTCTCCAGGATGAATCTAAATTATTATCTCTGGTTATTTAATATTACAAAAGTACTAGGAAATGAAGCTCAATTTGACATATCTAGAAATTTCCTTCAGAATGATGATTTTTAATATGATCATATCTTTTCATAATTTCTTTCCTAAAGATCTTCTATTTAGTCGAAAAAAATTTGGAGGATTAACAGTATGCTATTCAAAGCTCTGGATTTTCTCTGGAAAGGTGGAGAGGCACCAAAAGATAGGAAGGCCCTCAACCAGGTGGATTGACACAGTGACTGCAGCAATGGGCTCAGGTGTGTCAGAGATTGTGAGGACAGCACAGGACAGGGCTCAGATCTGTGGTTCGCAGGGTCGCTGGGAGTCCTACTTGACTTGACGGCTCCCTTAACAACTCCTAAATGAAATTTAAGGAGTAATACAGACACGAGAAATGGATAGAGAATACCTATCCAACAGTTGTTTCACCTGCCCCAGAGAAAAATCCTTGGTAGTATGGCCAAAATGTGAAAATTCATATAAGAGGGTATGAAAACCCAAGCTCAAGTATCAAGAAATGTTTCTCAGAGATAAAAAGACGAGAGTCACACCTGAATGAGCTCTGTGGATGGTTAAGCATAAACACCTTTTACGTGCGGGAATTAGCACATTATAACTAGGTTCCATTTCAGTAAGAGGATCGAATCAAGATCAGCACACACTATAAATAACAGTAAAATAAATAACGTAGTGGTCATTCAATGAAGCAGCACTGAGGATAACAAACCATGCAACACACACATCTAACTTCCAGCAACTGAAGTGACAGCTTGTTGAGAATGTGGTCTGTCTGGTTTGAACCCTAAAGTATACAGGAAGACACGCCAGTGTTTACGTTTTCAAACAATACCTGGGAAAAAACAAAACAAAAAAACAATACCTGGAGAAACTGTGTTAAGACTCAAGATGGCTGGCTAAGGAGAAACAGAGTTTAATGGCTATGAAGTGTCATCAACTGTAAGTACAGAGGGATTAGAATGAGGGTTTTTATGTGTTTTTTAAAAGCCTTCCTTGCTGAAACTGAGGAGGACCTGAAGTGCTTGCTGCAGAAGGTCAAGGACTGCAGTCTTCAATATGGATTGAAGCGCAACATCAAGAAAACAAAGATTCTCACCACTGGGCCAACTGGCAGCACCATGACAGATGGAGAAGAGACTGAGATTACTAAGAGTTACCAGTTTGCTCGGTTCCACAATCAGCACTCTTGGTGTCAGCAATCAGGAAACCAAGAGATGAATTGCCTTGGGAAAATCTGTTGTCAGGGACCTCTCCAGAGTACTGAAAAACAACAATATCAGTCTAGAGATTAAGATGTGCCTAATCCAGGCCATGGTCTTCACAAATATTTGCTATGCATCAGAGCGCTGAATAATGACTAAGGATCACAGAGGAAGAATCGATACCTTTGAGTTGCGGTGCAGGAGAAGTCTTAAACATACCATGGACCGCCAAGAAAACAAATAGGTCTGTTTTGGAGAGAGTGAAAGCAAGTTTCTCCTTGGACATGAGGATTCTGAAGCTCCGTCTCACACACTGTGGGCACGTGGCCAGGAGAGACTGGTTCTTAGAGAAGGACGTTACGTTGTAAGGGAGGTGGAACAGTGCAGGAGAAGAAGACCCCAGAGGAGATGGACTGACATGGTCACTGGGACAATGGGGGTTGATGTGTCAGAATTAGTGAGACTGGCTCAGGGCAGGGCAGGCTGCTGAAGCTGTACATAGGGCGCTATGGGTCGCAGGTGACTCAATGGCACATAACAACAGTAAGCTGCTAACTCCTAAAAGAGTATACATCGCAGAAAACATTAAAGAAATACTTTTCTATAAAATACGTAGAGAAGAAGGAATACTGGGAGAGAAGGTTTAAAGGCAGTGATGGAATTTTCTGTCGTCATGCTGCAAAGAGAAATGCTTACTTGACCAGGTCAAGCAAAATCTGTGAAGCATAAGGTGCATTCCAAAACCCTGGAAGTAAATTCCAGCTCCAGTTTTTTGATTTTATTTTCTTTTATGAGAAGGAAATTGGCTCTATAGAAAACTTAAAAACCCAGGAAGAGAACAGCTTACAGGTTACATCCAATCAGTGCTAAGTAAGCAGCTTTCCAAATTGTTCTTCTGTTCCAAACACGACACTCCATGGAATTTGGGAGAAGTGACAGCTGTCAGAAGGGCACCAGGCCCCTCTTCTAAGCACACAGTGGATTTTCTCTTTATCCCTTCTGGAACTGGAGGAGGGCGGAGGCATGGCAGTGATGTTCAAGGAGACTGACTTAGAAATGCAAAGACCACTGAGTCAAGTAAACCCAGCTCCCAGGCCCGCAGGCAGAGCAGGCCCAGTCCCAGAGTTCCCACAGCTGTCACCTCTACAGAAGCAAATGCACCAGCTTTCTTCCCAGGGGCCACGGCTGGGCTGGACCTACAGACCATGTGGTTAACAGCTGACTTCTTCAGCCACGGCACCACCAAAGCACCTCCAATATTTATGACACAAATATGTACACAGAATCTCATTGGAACAAAATAGGTGCAAGTAAATTATATCTTAATAGGTTTCGTCAGACTAAAATGCTGAAAATTTATTCTACCCGTATAATGAACAAAGAAATCAACAGGACCTATAACAAGTGGAATTTTCTGCACATATCAGGTAGTCAGTAAGAAATACCAAAGCTTTATAAGAAGTTAGATTTGAGTAAGAACTAGGGAAAACTGTTCACTGTACCTACAAAATCAGGGAAAGTGGCTCAAAACTCCATTCGAGAGAAGAATTCTTCCTACTCACCAGGCTCAGCAGCTGATAATCACCAAAGGTGTTCCCACAAAGAATTATTAAAACGTTTAAAACCACATTCAGATTATTTTTATTTACAGTTTAAAATTGTAAACAACTTGCTGGGACATCCTCGGTGAGGCGGGTGAGCCGTTTTATTTGAAGCTAGTTAAGGGCTGGGGCAGCCTCACTAATTCTGGTTTAAAGCCAAGCAGCCAATGGACTGGCTGGCTGACAATGGAGCTGCTAGTAAACTGGTGCAGTCGCCTGGCGGGGTGCGTCTAGGGGTCCCCCCACCTCGGTCTCCACTCTGGAGGCGGAAGTCTCTGAGCGCCTTTGTGGGCTGGCTCCACTGAGTTCATGACAATCGCGATGGACATCTGGAACTCATAGCGCTCCAACATCTGAGCGATCTTCTTCCGAGACACGCCATGCTTGTTCCTCCTGTGAGACAGAAAAGGTGTTTCTATCTTCCTTCCCGGCGCGTGGGCCGACACTCCTCCACTCCCAAGGCACAGGGCACCGCTCTAAGGTCTCAGCAAGGCAGCGCCAGGACATGGATTTCAGGGGCTCATCCTGGCTCTCTCCAAGATTTGCAACCCATTTTCCAAAGTGTGAGGACACCATAAACCATGGGACAGTGTTAATGAAGTATGGACCCTTTCTACAGAGGAACTTAACAGAACCCCAGAGTACACGCCCAGTGCCGAGCCCTTTCATGAACAACATCCAAGGTTATGAGACACTGTCTTGAGAATTACAGATGGACTTCCATGACACAAGAATCAATATAGACTACAGCTTTTTAAAAGTAACTCTAGGAAGCTCTGATAGTGTTTAAGTATGTATTATTATCTATAAATTATTAGTAGAGACATAACATGGACACAGCTCACAGACAGTTTTGAAGAAACACTCAAAAGAGTCAAAGAAACAGGACACACAGTTAAAAAGTTTGAAAGTTAGTTTGGAAAAATAGCAGCCTTAATTAATGACGTTAAGGCAAAAGCAGAGCTAGTAAAACTTCAGCGCAAGGAAGTGACACAGCCTGCTGGCGTGTGTCACCAAGTCAATCCCGACGCCGCGCCAGGTGCAGCTGCCCCTGCGGGTCTCTGGAGTTGTGGTCCTGACAGGCGTGATGTGCTGAGTCCCCAGGGCCCGCCATCTGGCTAGCAGCCAGCAGGCTCTACGATGCCAGCAGCATCCTGGGGGCAGGGTCACTGGAGGACTGTGGTGACCTTCGAGGAAGAAAGGCAGCAGTGGGCAGGAAGAGCCAGGAGGGGCGTCTGGCACACAGCCGGCTGACGGGCAGTGGTGAAGGCGAGAGGAGGGTTGAGTCGGCAAAAATTCACTGGACTGATCCTTCTATGGAAAGCACAGTCCACCGGGCTGACCCTTCTCCATCAAGCACAGGCCACGGGGCTGATCCTTCTACGCTGAGCACAGTTCTCTGTGTGTGCTTACTATATGTAACAAAAGGGGCTCAGGATGGATTCCTGACTCACAGAAAATGGTTTCAAATTTCTTCTCCATCATAGTTTCTTGCAACTTATATTTAATGATAATAATGATTTATCTTGGAGAGGATTAAACCAAGCTGCTCCTTGGAGGCAAGGATTCTGGGGCTTCGTCTGACATACTTTGGACACGTTGCCAGGAGGGACGGGTCCTTGGAGAGGGACATCATGCTTGGGAGGTGGAGGGACAGCGCAGGAGGGGAAGACCCTCTATGAAATGGATTGATTCGGTGACTGCGGTAATCGGGATGGGTGTGTCAGAGGCAGTGCGGTTGGCGCAGGATAGAGCAGGGTTTACGGCTGTTGTGCATAGGGTCACTATGAGTCGCAAACGACTCGACGGCACATAACAAACAACAATTCAGGGAACGGGTTACAAAATAAAAGTTTATTTCTTTTTCAAAACTGTGGCTACCTAGGGAGCTCTGGTGCCTAATAAGGAGTTGTCCTGCCAATCAGAGGCAGGAGGTTCAAATCCACCAATTGTTCCAAGGGAGCAGGCAGCCTGCAGTGCAGGCAGCCTCTGAAAACTAAGGTTGTAAACTGCCAGATTATGGTTCCATGAATCCACAAAAGGCCAAAAAAGACGCTCACCCAAGCTCAGCTCTGTGACAGGCAACAGTCAAGCCGGCTGTCGATGGAGAGTCAACGACATTTCGAATGCCTGTTGTTGCTGTGTGCCATCGAGTCAGAACCAATGCATAGCTGACCCTCCAGCAAGTTTTCAGAGGCAGTACTCGCATGGGAAGAGATTGCCCATCCTTCTTCTGGGGAGTAGCAGGTGAATCTGGGATGCCTCAGGTCTGAAATCTAGAGAGTTGGGGGGAGTGGCCTGGCAAGGGATTCTGGGGGCCGAGTCTGTGCTGTCTGAAGCTTCAGTGCTCCACTGATCGCTGCTCAACTTCCAGAGCAGGTGATGATGACACGCTGCCCCAGACACTGCCGGCTGCTGGCAATCAGTGCACGTGCTCTCAGCGTTACAGAACCCCTAACCCCAATGCCAGAGCACACAGATCTCAGGATAATGGACCTGCAAGACCAAAGATCGGAAAGGGGTGCACGATGAGGAGGCCAGGGGGCACCAGGAAAATGGGTGACAGACCCCAGGAGGAAGGGCAGAGGCGAGACAGTGCAGAGCCGCCAGCCAGCCAGGCCCACCAGGTGAACACCACACCAGAGAAGAACTCACTCTAGCATAACTGACACCCAGGGTGAAATGGCAGCATCTGCTGAAGGAAGAGGGAGGAAGTGCAGGACAGAAGATCCATGGAAATGAGAATCACACGGTGGGAGCCGGGAGAGTGCACTTACATTGTGAGCAGTCTATTAAATATTCTAGAACAAAATGTGTGTGAACGATTAAAATGGAAAACTAATGTGCTTTGCAAGTTACACTCAAGTCACACACACGAGTGCACACATACACGTAATGGTCTCAATTCACAAACAGCAAAGACAAGAAAAAGCTGGTTAAGTAGCAACAACAAACTGACCATGTAGAAGAGAAATGAGAACAAGACGTAAGAAATCAATCAATCAGGTGTCTTACTTTTCTAATTCTTCAGGATCAAACTTCCACCAGGTTTCAGGCTCGTGGAACTCGACTCTGTATCCTCTTCCTATGGCCTACACAGAGGGATGGGGCGAGGGGGACACACAGGCCAGAGAAAGCTTCTTACACTCAGAGAGAACGCACACGGCACGCACTGCATTACACAGCGGTTCTCAATCTGCTCAGCTAGCAACAGGTCTATTTTAAACTAATATATTCTGTAAAAAAATTAACTGAACAGGTTCCAATTAACATCTTCAAGTTCAAGCATAATAACAAAATAAACATTAATAAGCACTACTGTCAATTAAGGGGGGGGAAAGGCAGCAGCCCAACCAACATCTTCAGGAACAAAGACAGGTGTTCTACACAGATAACACAGAGCCATCTCATTCTAGAGCACAAGAAAGCAGTGAGCAAACACATCCCCAGAGCTTCGCTTTACCATCTCCACGTACGGCTTCATCTCCCAGGCCTGAGTGTTAGTGTTGTCAATGATGACCGGAGACCTTCCTTGAGCAATAGCTTGCTTTGCTGCAATAAAAAGAAATTTAGAAAACTAACCAAACAACAATGAGGTCAGCCCTGAGATCAGAAGAACTCCACGGGATGCCTAACTTAGAGAAGACAGCACTTTGTACCAAGTAAACCTGAACAGAAGAGGGCGCTCTGGTGGCTCGGAGGCAAGGAGCTGCTCTGTCAAGCCAAAGGCAAGCGCGTTGAATCCCCTCAGTACTCCACAGGTGATATATAAACAAGCTCTGGAAACCCACTGAAGGGCCAGGCATGAGTTGGTTTTGACTCGACGGCACATAACAACACAGAACAGTCACAGTGTGCATGTTGCACAGGGCAGAGCGGGGCAGGGCCGTGTTCTCTTGTCCAGGGTCCACGCGAGGTGACAATATGACAGCACTTAACAGCCTGGGGCAGTTCTAGCCTAACACGTGCTGCCAGAAGTCACCATCTACTTGAAGGCGATGGCTTAGTTTCAGAAGGACAGCCTGGGCTCTGCTCTTCAGGAGCTTGCCAACCTCACCCTGGAGGCAGAAGCTCGAGACCAAACGGAGACTCTAGCCTGCTGACTCTTAGTGGACTACTGAACATGAGGGCTACAACCAGGGCCCAATCCGCAATGACTGTGGGGATGGAGAGGACTGGGCAGTTCCCCATGCGGACAGACATGAAGTCAGAAGCACTGGCCAGCGCCTCGTGACCCGCTGGGGCCCCTCCCAGGAGGGGACTTCATACGCACCTCTGCTCTGGTTCCAGTCGTGGGCGTTGCTGAGCTGGTTCACGTCGTACCTGTACCCGTCGTGGTAGCGGAAGTAGTCGTCGGTGCTGAACACAATGCCGTCCTGGCTCTGACCGAGCAGGGTCCTGCCAACAAAAGGACCACAGGGGTGCCAGTTACCGAACCGCGACAGCAGCCACCGCCCATGTGGGAACGGTCGGCGATGACTCCCGGGCACCCCCAGCATGGTCACAGCAGGCAGCACACAGGTGCACCCAGTACACCTGGCAGACATGTGACTCTTCAGGAATCGGCAGGCCCCAGCGACCCTGCGGCAGGAAGTGTTTGGCAGCATTTCCCCCAATGGCGAGTGCTTTACTTTTAGTCTCTGTGTCCCATTTTAACGTCTCCAGGCCACTGCATACCTCCAGCGACACACAGCCACCACAAGGCAAACTGACAAGAGTGGTCATCTGTCCGGGGGTGCCAGGTCCTGCTCGTGCAGAGCCACTGTGTGTGTGCTGGGGGAGTGAGGTTGTTCAACTGTCAACCTTTCAGACAGCAGCAAAATCCTGGACCAGGGGGCCACCAAACTCCTTGACAAGATGCTGAATTTCCAAGTACAGAAAGTGCAGTCAGTGGCCAGAGCATTCAGAAATCCTTACAATGAACGGCTCCTCAAAGAGCTGGGGCTGTGCAGGGCGGCGGGGGCAGTGAGAGAATGCTCTGGAATAAGACAGTGGCTATCATTCACAGTTGTACGAACGGAGCAGGGGAGCACTACATGGTTTGGAACTGGGAAGGGAGTGTGTCAGGGATATATTCTGTCTCCATACCTGTTCAGTCTATATGCTGAGCAAATTATCCAAGAAGCTGGACTCTATGAAGAGTGTAGCATCAGGACTGGAAGGAGACTCATCAATAATCTGCATTATGCAGATGACACAACATTTCTTGGTGAAAGTGAGGAGGACTTGAAGCCCTTGTTGCTGAAGATCAAGGAATGCAGCCATCAGTATGAATTGTGTCACAATATCAAGAAAACAAAAATTCTTTTCACTGAATCAATAGGCAGTGTCATGATGGGTGGGGAGGAAATTGAAACTGCCAACAGCTTCATCTGGCTTGGATCCACAATTAACACCATTGGTACAAGCAGTTAGGAAATAAGGAGACGTAATACACTGGAGAAATCTGCAGTTAGAGACTTCTCCAAATTATTAAGGAGTAATGATGTCAGTTTGAGGACTAAGGTGCATCTGATACAGATCTTTCCGATCACTTGCTATGCATCCGAGACTTGGACAATGAATAAGGATGACAGAAAAAGAATTGACGCCTTTGAGCTGTGGTGTTGGAGAAGAGCACTGAACATCCCATGAACAGCCAAGAGAACAGATCTGTCTTGGAGATGGTGGAGCCGGAGTGCTCTTTGGAGGCAGGAATAATGAGGCTTTGCCTCACATACTTTGGGCATGTTGCTAGGAGGGGATATTTCTTGGAGAAGGACATGATGCTGCAGAGGGTGGAGAGTCAGTGAAGGAGAGGAAGCCCCTCGACCAGGTGGGTTGACACAGTGACTGCTGCAATGAGCTCTAGTGTCAGGAAGTGTGAGGATGGTGCAGGACAGAACAGGGTTCCGATCTTTGGTTCATACGGTCTCTATGAGCCGTGCTTGACTCAACGGCATTTAACAACATCCTTCACAGAACACATTCTTCTTCTTTGTGACCTGGAGGTACTCAACAATAACAGAACTGGGGACGGTGGAGAGAGGGGTGGAGAACGAACACCTACTGTCCCAAGATGGCTCAAAACTGAGTGACCCACCACTCCCATGGAGCTGACCCCACAGGCCAGACAGGCGCCACGCCCCACAGGGGTTCAGGGGCTGACCGCTCCTGAGTGGAGCATCAGGGCTTTCTCCCAGGGGCCTGAGGGGACAGAACCTCTAGCCTTTCAGATGGCAGCAGAAATCACAAATACCACACAGGAATTCCTATGGAATATTTACTTCCCATTTATTAAGTTAGGAGAAAGGAATCTACAATGAGACACTGTAATTACTCACATTAAATGTAACTAATATTATGAAACAAAATGTGTACAAATGATTAAATGAAAACCTGGTATGTAAACTTTCACTCAAAGAAAAGAAAAGAAAAAAAAATTAAAAAGAGTATCTACTTCTTCAAGGGAGCTTTGGTGGCCTACTGGCAAGAAGCTGCACTGCAGTCCCAGAGGCGCGCAGTGAAAATCCACCGGATACTCTGCTGGAGGAGGGGCAATCTCCTCCTGCACCAGTCAGATCCAATTTGATGGCACACACACAAAATAGAATAAAATTAAAAAAATAAAATAAAAAAGAATATCTACCTCTTCAATAATATAGTGGAAGTAGTAGCCATGACAGTAGGAATTAAAAAAAAAAAGCTATTCAGACTGGAAAACAAGTCAAGCTGCCTCTATTTGTACGTGGCATGATTCTACACGGAGAGCTCTAAAGAAATCATAAGAACATCTCAGGTAAGAGTGGACCTGAGCAAAGCTGCTAAAGATCAATAAACAAACTAGGCTTCTATACACCAGCAAATCTGAAAGGGAAATTAGGAAAGAAATTCCATTTACAGTAGCATGTAAGAGAATAAAATACCTAGAAATAACTCTACCCAGAAAAGAACATATACAATGAACACCATAAAATACTGTTGAGACTCGTGCGTGAGGCGAGCAGAGCCGGAGACGAGACTAGAGGCCGAACTCGGGATCTGACAAGATGGCCGGGCTGCCCCGAGGCTTATCAAGAAAACCCAGCGTTTGCTGGCAGAACCTGTTCCCGGGGTTAAAGCAGAACCAGATGAGAGCAACGCTCGTTATTTTCATGGGGTCATTGCTGGCCCCCAGGATTCTCCCTTTGAGGGAGGGACTTTTAAACTTGAACTATTCCTTCCAGAAGAATACCCAATGGCAGCTCCTAAAGTACGTTTCATGACCAAAATTTATCACCCTAATGTAGACAAGTTGGGAAGAATATGTTTAGATATTTTGAGAGATAAGTGGTCCCCAGCACCGCAGATCCGCACAGTTCTGCTTTCGATCCAAGCTTTGTTAAGTGCTCCCAATCCAGATGGTCCACTAGCAAACGAGGCAGCGGAGCAGTGGAAGACCAACGAAGGCCAAGCCATAGAAACAACCAGAGCATGGACTAGGCTGTATGCCATGAATAATAGTTAAGTCGGTCTGATCCATCCTCAAGTGTGCATCACTTCTCCTGTTCTGCCAAGACTTCTTCCTTTTTTGGTTGCATTTAATGGACACAGTCTTAGAAACATTACAGAATAAAAAGCCCAGACATCTTCAGTCCTTTGGTGATTCAATGCACATTAGCAAATCTGTCTTGTCCTGATTCCTGTTGTAAAGCATGAGCAGAGGCTAGAAGTATCATCTGGATTGTTGCAAAACGTTTAAAAGCAGTGGCCCCTCTCTGCTTTTATTAATTTCTTTCCCCATCATGGTTTTAAGTATAAAGCACTGTGAATGAAGGTAGTAGTCAGGGTTAGCTGCAGGGATGTGGGTGTTTTACTTTTTTTTTTTAGGGGGAGGTAACTTTATTTTAAATTTATGGGCTCCCTTCCCCCTTTTTATGGTGATCTAATTGCATTGATTAAAAGCAGCTAACCAGTTGTTCTTTAGAATATACCCTCTAGCCAAGTCTAACTTTATTTAGACGCTGTAGATGGACAAGCTTGATTGTTTGAACCAAAATGGGAACATTAAACAAACATCACAGCCCTCACTAATAACACTGTGACTTTGCTGTCAATGTAGAATCCTCCCTTCAAGAAAAAAAAGCTTGTGACCATTTTGTATGGCTTGTCTGCAAACTTGTGTAAATCTTATGTTTTAGTAAAATATCTTTTGTTATTCTAAAAAAAAAATACTGTTGAAAAAGACTTAAAAAAATGCAAATAAATGGACAGGAATTCCAGGTTGATGGGCTGGAACACTTAATATTGTTAAGGTTAATACCACCCAAAGCGATGTGCAGATCAAACTTCAAGACTTGGAGCTGAAGTCCAGCTGACAGCCCAAGAGCCTTGTTGACAGGAAGTGAAAAGCCAACTCTGAGCTATATACAGTGACAAGAAGTCAAATAGCTACAGCCCTGTGGAGAGCACAGAACACAGCAGAAGGACTCTCACCTAGTGGCTTTAAAACATACATACAGCTAACAAAAACACCATACAATACAACAGCCAAGAAATCAAGGCATGCTTCATTACACAACCCTGCTGTTCAAGGCCTTGTTAGAGTGTTGGAGAGCAAGGAAGGACTCCACTCTCCCTGACACCAGCGTGCCCCTGACCCAAGCCACAGGATTTTCATGTGCATGCAACACTCATAAGGAAAACTTAAGGACTGATGTCACTGTGTTCTTGTACTGGTCAACAGTATCCAATATCCCATGGACTGTTCAAAGAACAAGCAGATACGTTCTGGAGGAAGTAACAAGGGTTCTCCGTCTCAAGGAAGGTGAGACTTCGTCTCATGTACTCTGGGCATGTTGTCAAAGAGTGGACAGTCCTCTGCGCACCAGTTCTGTGACACTCTGGTCTCACCCCGCTTTGGTCCTCAGTCCCTTCCCCTCCCCATCCCCATTTGGGCTGTCATACATATCTTACTAGTTATCCTTCTATTTTTACAATAATGGTCAGACGCAGTATTTGTCCTTATGAGACTGAGTTCACTCAGCATAATGCTCTCCAGTCTCTCCCATGTTCATGGTTTTAAATCATTGCTCCAGAGTGCTGCATAGTATTCCACCATGGGAATGTACCAAAATTTCTCAATCCATTCACTTGCTGTTGGACATATGGGCTGTTTCCATCTTGCTATTGTGAAGAAGGCTGCTGTGAAAGAGCGGGTGAAGGAATTAGGAAAGATCCAGTGGGTACATGAAAAGACGGGTGATGGTGGGCACCAATGAAAGGTGGCTGGTTTTATAAAACGCAATGAATGGGAATAATCGTATGAAAAGCAATGTGAAAGAAGGAAAGGGTGAGATACAATGTACATGAATCTTGTATGGAATAAAATACAAAACTTACAAAATCTTTCCTTCAAAGTATTTGATATGTTAAATTGT